GCAAGCAAGAGAGCTCTCGGATCCCCCTCCTCAGTTTTAGTTCCCCCAGGTCATGTCCAGCCCTGTCTCCACCCCCAATGGGTGTGGTCTATGCCACAGGTGTGGAGAAGGTGAATATCTCACTACAGGGTTGTGCTCTCATAGTGACATGGGAGTGTCTGTCATCTCTAACCAGCTGTTGGCTGGGTTAGTTTCATCTGGATTTGTACAAGTTGTAAGTTTGCCATTACTAAAAACACCTGCTGCTCAGAACCCCCCTTAGCTGCGTTTATTTGGGGCCCTGTCCACTGCCAAGACAACTCTGATCCCCCATAGCTGCTTCCTTCATGCCATTGCAGCCGGCCCCTGGGATAGTTGTGTTTTAGTGCTGTGGGTGCATGGTAAAGCTGCTCTTTATCTCCTTCCCATTGGCTGTTTGACACTTTAAGGGATCTCTTTTTTTGGGGGGGGGTGTCGAGAGTTTCTCTGTGGATTTTGTAACACTGTCTTCTCTAGTGGAAGTTATTAAAGGCCAGTAGATGATGGAAAGTCACTAAGCCAAGCTAGTTTAGTAAAGGACCCAACTAGTAGTATCCTGGTTGTCTTCAAACTCTCTTTAGACCAGGCTGGCCTCGAACTCAGAGGTGCTCTACCACATCCTGACAACCATGTATCTAATAGTGAGGTGTGGCTCTAGAGGAGTCCCAGCTTTCTGTCCTGAAACCCAGTGAACCTTGGTGAGTGTAGCTCCTCCATTCACAGAAACAGCTTCTGGAAGGGAAGGTTTGCTTTGGTTCATGGCTTCAGCGATTTCATGGATCATAGTGGGGAGGTTAGGGGCTGTGTGTGGTTACAGAGGTGTTTGGCCCTCCCTCATACCCAAGGAACAGAGAATGCAGCAGTCAAGGACAGGTGGAAGCTTGGAAGACCTGCCCTTTTTGACTTACTGCTGAAGGCTAAGCCCCAGTTGGAACCTAAACCTCACAGTCTGCAATAGTAACACAAAGCTGGAGACCAAATGTTGAAAACCTGAGCCTACAGAGGACATCTCAGATTCAAACTATATTTGCCCACATCCCCCAAATGCTTGTCATAGCCATCTTCTGATGCAAGATGAACTTAGCTCCTGCTGAAGTCTCCAGAGTATAACAGTCGCAAACCCTGCTCTGAGGTCCTGTCTCAGTCTGTCTCAGCTGGAAGGTGTAGCTCAGTAGCAGAGCAGTGGCCTGTTGAGAACAAGGCCACTGGACGAACATCCCTGAGGGCTGAGGACAAGGCAAGATAAAAAAGAATGTTCCAGTGTACAAGGACACACAGTAAACATTTCCAGGGCAGATGGGCAGTAGGCCTGACAAGGAGAGAGCTGACCAGATCCTATAGTTCTGTCTAGCATCTGAGGCATGGTGGTGGTGGTCCCACCTCCTTGGCTTTGCCATTTGCAGCACCTGTAGTCTGAAGCTTCCCTCAGCAGACATCCTACAATCCTTAGGGTGTCTCCAGCACCCTAAGATCTCCATTGTGACTCACTCACAGTCTACATGGGATCTCTGAAGGAAACCTAACCCTGCAGTATGTTGTCTGGCCTTACTTGCTTTTCTTTTGAACCATAGTGTAAGCCTTCATCACCCAACTCTTTAATTCTGCAAACCTGCAAGCTAGCACCACATCCATAGTGTTACATTCGTCAGCAGAAGATATAGTTAGGCCCTTTTGAGCTGTGGCTGTAGTGTCTTCTGAGAGCCTACATAACAACATTTTCTAGACAACTCCTTTCTATCAGTGTACCCCTTTGGCACTCTGATTGATTGATTGATAGATACAAGGTCTTTGTATATTAACCTGAGTTAGGATCCTCTTGCTTAATTCAGCCTCCTGAGTGCTAGGGATGTACCACCATGGCCTTTTCTTTTCTTTCCTTTCTTTTTTCTTTCTTTCTTTCTTTTTTTTTTTTTTTTTTTTTTTTTTTTGTTTGTTTGTTTGAGACAGTGTTTATCTGTGTAACAGTCCTAGCTGTCTCAGAACTCACTCTTTAGACCAGTTTGGCCCCAAACTCATAGAGATCCGCCTGCCTCTGCTTCCTGAGCACTGGAATTAAAGGCGTGTGCCACCACTGCCTGTTGAACCTGTGCTATTTTACAGTGACCAAAACCTTACAGTGACCAAAATCAGACAAGCAAGTCATTCAAAACTAAAGATTTATGTCAGAAAGATTCAAGTTTTGAGGCTGGAGAGTCTCTGTTGGTAAAGCATTTTCTATGCAAACATAAGAAAAACCCAAGTTCAGTCCCTTTTGCCCACCTAAAAGCCATTGGAGAGCTGAGGAACCAGAAACAGGAGGGTGGATGCCAGCAGCTGGCCAGCCAGTGAACAAGCCCCAGATCCTCTAGGATACCTCATTCCATTTAAAGTAAGTGCACACACAAGTTCAAGGCTTGTGACAAATGACTGGTAGAATCTAAGTGGTGGTTGATATAGGGGTATTGTGTTCAGAAGTCTGAGTGTGGCTCATAAGGAATGTCAATTTTGCATGTGCGTAATCGACATTATGGGTATTGTGCTGACTTGCCTATCAGAGAAGGAAAACTGAAGTATTCAGTAATAAAGATCTCCTGATGTCTGGAGTTTGCTTTGAATGCTCACTGGTGGGGCTGTAGATGAGTCAGACAGTGCATGGGGGAGGAACTAGAGGAATTGTACATCTTGATTTCAGCTATCACCAGAATGCTGGGTAAGTCTGAATTAGTAAAACTCTAATCTTTAAAGATTTCTGTTAGTTTTTTGTTTTTTGTTTTTTAAGATTTATTATGTATATAGTGTTTTTGCCTGCATGTATGTCTGCACACCAGAAGAGGGCGCCAGCTTTCAATTTAAATGGTTGTGAGCCACCATGTGGGTGCTGGGAATTGAACTCAGGACCTCTGGAAGATCAGGCAACACTCTTACCTCTGAGCTATCTCTCCAGCCCTCTGTTAGGTTTTTTTTTTTTTTTTTTTTTAAAGTATATTTATACATACATACATATATGTATGTACACATGAATCTGTTACCTGCTGAGTCAAGAAGAAGATGTTGGATCCCCTGTGCTGGAGTTCTAGGTGGCTATGGTCTACCCAGTGTGTGTGCTGGCAACCAGTACCTCTTTGAGAATAGCAAGCCCTCTAATTGCTGAGCCACCTCTCTAGCCTCGTCTTCCTATTCTTTTTTCCTTCTTTTTTTCCCCCCAGACAGGGTCTCTTTATAGCTCTGGCTGTCTTGGAATTCACTATATCATCTTTCTGTTTCTTTTCTTTCTTGTTTTCTTCTTCCTCCTTCTCCTCCTCTTTGGTTTTTAAGACAGGGTTTCTTCTCTGTGTATCCCTGGATGCTCTGGAACTCGCCCTGTAGATCAGGCTGACCTCTAACTCATAGATCTGCCTGCCTCTGCTTCCCAAGTGCTGGGGTGAGAGGCCTATGGGGCCACCACCCACATATTTTCCCCTCCACCCCTCCCTTTTTTTCTCCCCCCCCCCCAAGACAGGGTTTCTCTGTGTAGCTTTGGAAGCTGTCCTGGAACAAGACCAGGCTGGCCTTGAACTCACAGAGATCTGTCTGCTTCTGTCTCCTGAGTGCTGGGATTGAAGTTTTTTTCTGTTTCTTAATGTACATTCTAAGTTAAATTCTGGGCATGATGGCACACACATGTGATCTCAGCACTTGGGAAACAGAGGAAAGAGACCCTCCCTTCTCCTGTTCCCTCAAGACAGGGCTTCTCTGTGTAGTCCTGGCTATCTTGGAATTCACTTTGTGTAGATCAGGCTGACCTCAAACTGGCAGAGGTTCCAACTGCCTCTGTCTCCTGAGTGAGTGCTCGGAGATCAAGACCACTGGTTACTCTTCCAGAGGACTGTAGCACTTAATAGCTCAGACATCAGGGTAAATGCTGAAAGGTCAGAGAAATAAAGGAGCCAGCCATAAGAGAGGCCTCTTTCAGAACAAAGGGACAATCCTGTCCCTACAAATCCTCAGACTCCCTGCTTTGGACTGCCGCTTCATACTGCCATGAACCCCCGTCTCTTCCCACTTTATATTCCTCCCTCAGCCCTGCCATATCCCTTCCTATTTCCACCTCCTTAGTGCTGGGATCACCTTATGTGAGTTCTGTTTCTCTTTTAGACTGGATCAGTTTTGTGTAGGCTAGAGTGGCCTTGAACTAACAGATCCATCTGCCTCTTTCTCCCACATGCTGAGATTAAAGGTGTGTGCTACCACTGCCTGGCCTCTGTGGCTGACTAGTAAGGCTAGATAGCTCTGCACTCTGATATTCAGGCAAGGTTTATTTGTTAGATCATAAACAAAATATCACCACAAAGGACCCAGGATCAATTCCTAGCATGAACATGGTAGCTCACAGCTGTTTGTAATTACAGTTATAGGCGATCCAGCATCCTCTTCTGGCCTCCATGCACATGGTGCACAGACAGACATACTCTGTACACATAAAATGATCACATTTAAAAACAGAGTAACTAGAAAGAACTCTACTGGTCAGCTGTTGTTGGAGTTGAGTGAGTAGCGGAAGGAAGGACCACTGCTCCGGAGCCAAGAGTGAACTCAGCTCTTGATGTGTGCTTCGGGCTCAGGCCAGAGTTGTGTGGCCTGTGCTGGCATCCCCAGGCAATGACATCATTTTCCTGGTCCTCTTTCAGCTTTTCTAGGCTTGCCAGTTCCATCTATTTTATTTGTTACCTCATCAGTTCTGTGTTCTGAGAGCTTTAAAGAAAGGAGACAGACGGATGAAGGGGAGAAGGGTGAGACAGACAGCTGAGCGTGAGGGGAGGGTAAAGACCACAGCCTATGGTGGCTCCCAGCAGATGCCCTTGGCATGTACTGGGCAGGGTGTCTGCTGCTCTCAACACAAGACACCACCTCGTAAAAAGTTATTTGGGGATGTAAACAAGAGCTAGTCCTTAGTGGTATTTGTTCTGTTTAGACTGATTGTGTTTTCTTGAATATTTAACCCTCTCTGTGACCTCTGACTTCAGGTGCTGCTTGTGAGCAGTAGCCGCCATCCAGACAGATGGATTGTCCCTGGAGGAGGCATGGAACCTGAGGAGGAGCCGAGTGTGGCTGCGGTCCGTGAAGTCTGTGAGGAGGTATGTCCTGAGGGCCTGTCCTATAGGTCCTACTGTGTCCTGTCTCAGCCCCCTGAGCAGTGTGCTTGTGATCATACAGACAGCATTTCACCGTCACCCAGTGTCACTGCTGCAGTGTTTGTCAGCCTTCTCTGCAGAAGGAAGTCTGTCAGCAGTGACTGTATCTAGTGACATCTGCCAGCACTTTGTGTGACCTCTCATGGCTCTCTTCCAGCATTTTCTCTGGTACTTGTCATAGATCAAATATCAGTGTTAACAGGAGCCAGCTGGTTAGTGTAGCTCATGCTGTTTCTTACAGGGGACCAGGCCCTGGCTCCTGTGCCTGTCACCGCTGCTAGTGCTGGTGATGGTACAGCTCAAGAGATGATAGGATTTTAGTCATACTGTGTGCAACATACATGGATGGATTTCTTTGGCCACACCCCTATACCTTACTAACTAAATATGTCTGGATAAACAAAAGTCAAATTGTGAGTCCTGAGTTCCCTTAGTCTGAGAACTTACAGCTTAGGAGGGCTGGGTATGTGGCTCAGTGAAAGAGTGCTTTCCTAGTGTGTTTAGGACCCAGGGTTCAGGCCCCAGCAACTCTTCCCCTCTCCAAAAAAGCTCATAGTCTGGGGGAGGGGACCATGAGGAAGGAACTAGTGTTTCTCCACAGCTTGTGGTGGCGACACTATGCTCAGCTCTTAACATGTAACCTCACTGAAGACTTGTGGCAAATGCAGCAGTGTGAGCTCTCATGTCCCCATGTACTTCCTTGCCACACGGAGTCATTATTTTGTAAATCTATTTGCTTGTTTAGATTAAATTAAGCCTGATTTTATGGGCATAGAAAGTAGCACCCAGGACATACCAGGCTGGGAATATGATTCGGTGGTGAAGTGCTTGCCTAGCATGGCATGGGTCCACTCCTATTACTACCAAAATCAATCCAGAAGATTGTATAGGCTAGGGTTGTGGCTCAGTGTGTAGAGTGGCTACCTAGCATGCCTGAAGCCAGAGTTTAACCCCCGGCACTGTTTAAACTGAAGCATGGTACATGCCTGTAGTCCTAGAAACTACCAGGTACAGGCAGGAGAATCAGAAGTTCATGACCTCTTCAGCAACAGTGAATCAGGTAGGAGATAGCCTAAGCTACACGAGCCCATGTCAAGCAACAGCAGAAACCTGCAACATTCTTATTGGTCAAGCTCTTGCTGAAGCCCCATGACAGTTTTTTTTACCCAGAGCATTCCCTAACATTTGGGCTCCATCACTCTGCCCTGCCCGTCTCTCTCCTCTTAACCTGTGTCTGCTAGCTACAACTGGACTGACTGTGTGGGACTACTCCCCCTAGTCCTCCCTTCTTGTCCCACTGACTTTGCTGCTTTGGTGTTTACTTTGGCTTGTCTCTCTGTGGGAGCAATCTGGCCATCAGTGTTTCATCCTCACAGCCGTCAAACAGCCTGCATGTTTGCCTCATAGGTCTCTTTATTTATCCTTCTCCCTGCATCTTCCAGAGTCATTTCACGTATCATGTTCACACTAGCTTCTGCCTGTGGATGCTAAATAAATAAAATCTTATCACTCAGGAGGTAAAATCTAGTGGGTCTCTGCCTTACAAAACAAGTGAAGAAATAATAAAAGGATGATCAGTAGAAGATAAAATTATAATAATTATTGTTATTGTTTATTATTATTTTGGTTTTTGAGACAGGGGCACAGGCTGGCCTTGAACTCATAGAATCCACCTGCCTCTGCCTCCCGAGTACTTTGACTAAAGGCATGTGCCACTACCACCTGCCTATAAAATCTTTAGAGTTTATTTGGCTAGAAGTTTACATGATTTTAATTCCCAGCACTTGGGAGACAGAGGCAGGCAGATATCTGAGTTCTGAGTTTGAGACCAGCCTAGTCTGCAGAGCAAGTTTCAGGACAGCCAGGACTTCATAGAGAAACTTTTGTCTGTCCATCCCCAAAGAAAGAGAAAATTTATTAATTTTAAACATACACCTTTTCTATAGTGTGAAATTAGAATGGATAACTGTGGTGATGCACGCCTGTGATCCTGGCACATGGGACGTGGAAGCAGGAAGTCAGGAGGCTCCTGCCTGAACTACCTGTGACATGGAAAAACAACCCACGGATCATGCATAGTTTTAGTCAGCTAGACAAAAGGACTACACAGGTGTCATATAATCAGCCTCTACTGTAGGATTGGCCTTGGATGATATAGGGCCTGGCTATACAGTGAATATAGGACCAAGTCATAACCCTAGCACCCCAGCACTGGCCAAAAGCTGGTTAGAGATGGGGAGTCCAGCCCCAGCCCATCCCACTCTGCAGGTGTGAAGTACATAGGTGTGACTGCACCCGCTTTGTTGATGTGTATGAAAGTATATGAAGTAGTGTTTTACACTTTCTGACATGGCAGAGAAGTGCTCTTGCAGGACTTGGTTCTGGATGGGCCAGTTCTACATCCTCTCCAGTCTCCTCGGTGCACAAGGACACAGAAAGCCAGAGAGTGCTTCTTCAAGACTCTTATGGTAGATGCAGCTGAGTTTCCTTTGGGAAACTGAGATTGTAGTATAAAGCCACCTTGCATAGATCACCCTAGCCACAGGCCAGATAGAAGCCAGGGGGCTGAGAGGGGAGTTGGCCTGTTGGAGGTATGTGTTTGAGAAGGGAGATAGGATTGTGCAGTTGGCAGCTGTAGTGTCCACTTCCTGAGCTGGCTGCTTTCCTTTGCTTTTATTTTATCTGGGCCCATCTTCAGGCAGCAGTCTCCTTGGCAGTGCAGTTGTAAAGTGTGTTTTAGGCAATTGCTCCTGGAACCTTACATGTCCCAGTGATCCTGTGGGCTGTTCTTATTCCTTAGCAAATCCTTCTCTTAACCTAATCAGATTAGCATCAGCTGATTGTTCTTGGAGGACTGAGCTCTGAGAAGGTCTTGAGTAATGATCCTTGTAGCTGTGTCTGCCATCTTTCCCTGTTTGGCCCTGCTCAACTGCAGGAGAGTGAGCTGTGGGACTGAGTATCTTCCTCTGGCTGAGAGGTTCCTTCAGCTCCTGAGAAAGCAAAGCCATTGTGTGTGGTAATCAGATGGGCTTGAGTCTATGGGATGTGAAAATGGACAGAGTTCACTCCAGAGCTGCTGTCCCTCCTCTGAGCTTTAACAAGTGAATGCTGTCTGGCTGTTCAGCAAGAAGACAGTGCCTTTCTGTCATGCAGCAAGCCCTGAGCCTCCTGCCAGAAATACAGGAACGTACTTATATTGCCTTCAGTGAGATTTAACACCTTACAATGAATACAAATGGATAAAAACTATAATCTGAAATTTTGAAGATTTGAGAGAAGTTAGTATGACATGCTGTGGGCCCTCCTCTAGGATGAGGTCAGGATGGCTTTAGACCTACTTGTTCATTTGTGAATGTCGAGTATCAGAACAGCTTTGTCTGCCTGGGAATACCATGGTCCTTCCTCTGACTTCCCCTGAGGGAAGTGTTACAGGAGGGGTAGGAATGTGGAGAGCAGCTTTTATTTTGCTCCGGAGCAAATTGAGTGTCTCATATCTTGTAGGATCTGAGGTCTTGGGATGTTCAGGGTACAGGCAAGTCCTGAGGGGCAGTATGACTTTGTCCTTAGCCTCCCTAGGCCTGGGGCTCTCAGAACCTTTGCTTGGTTATTTCAAGAGGATTGGCTGTGAAACAGTTAAGATGATCCATGCTGCAGAAGTTGGGTCTAAATCTAGTTGGCTTCTGTCATTTTCATGGTACCGGAGGCAAAGTGATATTTGAGTTATTTGTCATGCCATTATGGATTCAGGCAGGTTGGTGAAACAGAGAGAAGGAAGATGCTCTGAGAGCTGTGTGCACTCTGCTGCTCTGCGTTAGCCTCTCAAATGGGCTGATATCCTGTCATAGAAATCACACTTGGATTTGATGTCTAGCTCTGGAAAACTTACCTTTATGTTTTATGGCTGGATTTATTTTCCTTCCTGTCCCCTCACCCCATGTAAATATGTATATAGGCTCAGTCATACTGTTTCACGTGAGAGTCACAGGAACTGGTTCTGAGGACTAAGCTCACACAAAGCCTGTCAGCAAGTACTGAGCCACCTTTATTGCCTCTTTTTTTTTTTTGAGAGTCACGAACTGAATTGTTTCTAGTTACACAGGTTCAGCCAAGATGCAGCAAAGTAGGTGTTATCTGTAGCAAGTGTGGTTAGGAGTTAAGGATGTGTAGTTGGTTATTTTTTTACTCTTTGGCTCTTTAGCTCTTTTGGAAGGCCTGCCACCCAGCTCCCAATAAATCAGACACCGAGGCTTAATCTTACTTATAAATAAATACCTGGCCTTAGCTTGGCTTATTTCTTGCCAGCTTTTTTTTAACTTAAATTATCCCATCTACCTTTTGCCTCTGAGCTTTTACCTTTCTCTTCTGTAAGTATTACTTTCACTCTGTTTCTGGCTGGGTGGCTGGGTGGCCCCTGGAGTCCTCCCTTCCTCCCTTTCTAGTTTCTTCATCTCTCTCCATTTTCTCAGACTTTATTCCCTCTGCGTGTCAGCCCCACCTATCCTCTCTAGTCTGCCCTGCTATTGGCCATTCTGCTCTTTGTTAGATCATTCAGGCAGCAAAGTAACACAGCTTCACAGAGTTAAATACATGCAACATTACCAGATGGTGATGGCAAGGGCCGTTATGCCTTTAATCCCAGCACTCGGAGGCAGAGGCAGGTGGATCATTGTGAGTTCGAGGCCAGCCTGGTCTACAGAGTGAGTGCCAGGACTGTTACACAGAGAAGCTCTGTTTTGGGCAGGGGCAGGGGAGGAGGGAGAATGCAGCATATCTTTGCATCATTAAACAAATGTTTCACCGCACAAACAAATGTAATACATCTTAAAATAATATTCCACAGCAGGGATGGATGCAGGGCCTTCTGCTCAACATTGTTTCCCTGGAAACTATGCACCACCCTTTTGGAGAAAGAGGGGAGAATAAAATAGGCATAAGAATCTTGA